ATCTAAAAATTAAAAGACAGAAATAAGGTTAACAAAGAATAAATGAATTTTTTATTTAAAAAAAATTACATTTTTAAAGTGATTTTTTAAAAACTTTTAACAAAGGTATTCATTATTCAAATGTAGCTTTTTTTTAAAAAAAATCTCAAAATGAAGCCTTAACTAAAAACAAAAATATGCTTAATGACTTGACATCTATTACTATGCTTATAAAAAATATAATTCAAAATACAGAGGTTACAAAATTATAAGATACAAAAAATATACATCAAGCACATATTCTCAAATAATGAAAACACAATTTGAACATTGAAAATTCAAAAATACTCAATAATATATGACTTCAAAGTTCATAAAAGTAGTTATTAATGCATTGTCTGTGGGAAATATACTTTTACATTTTTTGCAGTTAGTTACTGGAGCATTGGTCAAATAAAAGTACCTATTTATGTAACAATTATGTATTAGGTAAATTTGTACTGGGGAGAGGGGTATCATATAACTAATATATAAAAAAAAACAAAAAAAAATTTGAGAGAAATTTGAAACAGTTATCAATTTGTTTCAGCTTTATCAAATGACCAAACTCTTGTGAAATTCTTGATCCATATGCAATGGGTTAATTAGAGACAAATGTTTAAAACATATATACAACCACACACAGAATACAGCTAAAGAATTAACTCTTAAAAATTTTTAAGGATTTGGCAAATTTTACTAATTTTTTCCCCCTCCTTTGTTTGAGTTTTTTTTTTTTTTGACTTACCAGAATGGGCTTCTTTCTCAGATTCTGAATCTCTTGTTGACTTTTCAGCATCTGCAAATAAAATCAAAATTGCAAAAAACTAAGCTAAAAAATAAACTTATATTAAAAGAACTTTTAGAATTATAAACAGGAAAATGCTGAGTTTTTATTTTAATGAATTAGTAGAAATAGAGAAAGAAAACTTCTTTAAATACAAAACTTTAACACATTTATATACATCTATACAAAAATAAATTTTAAGTCTAATGCGATTCACATAATTTTGTCCACAAAATATTTCAATCAAAGCTTTACAGTTTTTTAAAATGTTGCATTTTTTATCTTCAGAAAAGTTACGTTTCTCATTTAAAAAAAATTATAACTACTTATATCCTGTAACTTAGGTCGAAAACTAATTTATAGCCCATTCATAATTATATTTGCCTCTCATAATATCTTTCTTCTTAATTGTAAAAATAAAACAGATTTAACATTTAGTAGACATTGCATACAGCTATGACCTTACATCAAATACCTAAAAAATATTTCTTTATACTATTCAAATATACAACATTTAATGTAGCAAATAGTATGCTATAAACACATTGCATGCTGTGCATGCGGTCTTTATGTAAAATTGCAATTAATCGATAACTACTTAGTTTTTCCTTTAAAAATTTCTTTTTAAAAAAATTTAAAATTTATATGATTTTTTCTCTCTCTAACACTAATCTACTAAGTACAAACTTTTCTGTAATTCAAACTTTAGTGCAAAAAAACATGTAAAAGTACATTTCTACATGCAATGAGTTAATCATTCAATAACCCCAATTTTGAATACTTTAGAAAATTTTTAACCAAAATTTATTAAAATGCAGATATATTTATAGAAATGTTTGAAAATTTTTTATACTGAATTCAAGGACATGAAATATATAATATATGTAGACTAAGTAGTAGTAATTAGAAAAATGTGAACAGTACCAGAAATCTAAAACACATCTAATCAAGGTATCAAAGTTTGATAATTACACTTCCAAAAGTAAGACAAGTAAAACGTTCTGGTATTCTATGTCCCTAATAACAGTTATATGAATTATCCAATTAAAATTTTTGAAGAATCTTTGGCTCCACGAAAGTAAATTTTTATGAGTTCAATTCTATATTCAGGACAAGATTGTTACAATTCAAATAGTTGATAAAAAGTTATGCTAAAGAGAGATGAAATATTTTAATATTTTTGAAGCATACAAATATCATTATATCATCTAAAGATGACTGAAATCAAATCATGAAAAATAAGATACCTTCAAGAAGATATGTATCATTTTCTATTATATAATACTTGTAATTGCTCAAATTACAATGCACTTTCAATGTATGAATAAAGTAAATGTACATATATGATAGCACACTAACCAGAATGAGCTTCTTCTTTCTCAGATTCTGAATCTTTAGTTTCTTTTTCCTCATCTACGAAAAAAAAAAAGAAATTGTACATATTATACAACAGTAGATTTTATTATTTGCAACATTTTAAGAAACCTCATTCTAAAGCAGTTATAGAGAATTATGAAATCCTATGAAGCACTTTTATTTTAATCAATATTCCTTTTGTTTTTCTAAATCCCTTTCTACAAAAAGCTTCACATACATCCCTCCCATCATAAATAATAGAGTACTTAATCCATAAAAATTAAAAATTCTCCAGCTGATATGCATAATATTCATTGCAAAATAAACTTGCAACACAAAATTGACACCTCAATTTTTACTCACTTTATATGATGAGTATTATTTTAATTTAACTGATCTTAATTCATTTACAATTTTACTTATAAAAAAATCCATTTTCCCAATTATTGATCAGTAGAATTGTTCATAACAAATAAAATGAGAAAAATAATAAATATTTCAAAAATATTTTCATATAAACACTTATTTAATAACTTTTCAAATGCCCTACACCAGTGGTCTTCAAACTGTGTTCCATGGAACCCAGGGTTCTACAAGACATACTCAGGGGTACCACAAGTCACACAAACACAAAATCGAGAAGAAATAAATAGGTATGCAAAATGGATTCATGTTCTCTATGAAGTTTGTATAGTTACAAGTATCTTATGTCCCCCCCCCCATTCATTAGAACTGAACACTTTATTTATATATAATAATTTTATTTTATCACCCTTTTTAAACTTTTATTATAATATAATAAAAGAATATTAAAATGTTTTATCTTTATATATATACTTCCTACTAGATTGTGGATATTCTATTGTTTACTATCTTGGGTTCCACAAGATAATTTTATACTTGTTAGTTAGCACAATGTCTTGCAAAACTAAATTGTTTTCAAATGGAAAAAGCACCTTTTTACATTTGTGGAAAACAACTTTTATAATGAAGGAAATAACAACAACTCAACAGAGTTGATGTTAAAATCTAAATTTAAACAAAAACAGTTTTTAAGTTTTAAGTTGTGCAAATTCTCTCTCTTTCGTGGAAAATACATTGGATTTCCGACACAGCTATAAACATTTTAATGCCATTCTGAAAATCGTTTTTAAGTTAAATATATTTCTCAATCTAAGTGGCTACAAAAACAAAGCATAAAAACAAATTAAACTCAGAAAATGTAATGTGATTGCATTTAATTTCAATACATCTAGACATTGACAGTTTGTGAGGAAAAAAAGCCAGTACATATCTCAGTTACTAATTATAATGCATGGATAGGTGACACTTGAATTAAAAATTAATATTATTAATAAGTAAATTATATTTAAAAAATTAGAATAGAATTTTTTATAATAAATACAATACTTTTTTTAAAATTTTATTTACATAAAGTGCCTATAACATGTTGATCTACTTTAAATATTATTTTGAGATATATTCTTTGAAGTATGTGCATAGAATGAGGTTCCATGGAAATACTTTCTAATTGTAGGGGTTCTACAAAAGCACCTTCAAGTTCTAGGGGTTCCGTGAGTTGAAAAAGTTTGAAAACCACTGCCCTACATAATTCAATTTCATTAAATTTGTATTTTCAGATAATAGAAAAAGTCTTACCAGAATGTGCCTCCTTATCAGAACCAGAAGCAACACTTCCTTTCTCATTGTCTTAAAAATAAAAATAATCATAATATATAAAAATTTCAAAAATTTAATATTCTTAACAGAATTTTTCAAAAATAATTTACAATTTAAGACAAATAAAATCCTAAAGTATATTAAATATATAAATTAAAGCAATAGATTCAAAATAACATTATAAAATCCACAGGGCATTTCCTTTTTTACTTAAATATGCAATAAAAAAAAAGCTATACCAGAATGTGCTTCCTTTTCAGAGCCAGATGCAACACTTCCCTTTTCATTATCTGGAAAATAATTATAGCAAAATATATAAAGAAGAAAAATATTTGAAATGGTACAAACAGAATTTTTTTGGAAGTGTATTAAAAACTTGTAATTGTTCTTTAAGAACCCCCCTATGAAATAAATATACATAACCAAATAATGCTAGAAATAATTTTAACCCCTTCTTGCTCAACCAGTGTGTTAGGTACCCCAGACGTCTTTCCAAAATACATTGTTTTCTTAGGGCTGCTATCAGTAAAACTATTCTGTAGGCTTTTGAATGCAATAAAATGAACTTGACGGAGAGAGAGCTTGCAAAGAATTTACTTATTTCAGAGAAAAATTTGCTTATTAGAGTCTTTTCTTCCCTCCCTCCCAATACACAGCATACGCACACCTATGCGAAAAATGGAGGCACTAGAGAGTGAATTGTGTAACTTTTAATTGGCAGTTATCGGATTAATCTTATAATTTTAATTTCTAAATTACAGTAAATAACTAAATAATATTTGTATGCACCAACTCTTTGCATTTAAAAATTGTTATTGACAAACTTAAATAAGCATTTAATGATAACATGCTTAATCTTTTTAAATAAACAAGTAACATAAAAAAAATTTTAAGTCAATACCTACTTAGGTTAACAAAGAAAAATTTTATTTTAGTTACTTTTAAAAAAAAAGTAACAATTAATATAAATATGCATATACATATGACAGAATCGCATTAAGTGGCAAAATAGAAAGTGATTTTCCATTTTTCTTTCTATATATGGTGCTGGACTACTTTTTTGTTTGTTTATATATATTACTGTTTATTCATTAATTAAATGTAATTATTCTGTTAAAATAGTAGAGTAAAAAAGAAATCCCGCTCTCAGAAATTAGGTCATCCCAGATGATATTTGAAACCCACGACCATTCGATTAGAAGTCCAACGCGCTATCTATTGCGCTACAGAGACAAAACGAAAGATTTTCCTTTCTATATATATATATATGCTGTTGGGCTATTGTTTTTGTTTGTTACCATTTATTCATTTTATAATTTAATTAATGAATTAATATTTGAAAAAAACTGCATTATTATCAAATGTCATCCACTACAAGTTTTAAAAAATGCATTTGAACTTGAATGGATAAATAGAAAATATTTTATTAACAATTGAAAATTTGTGAATGTATATATATAAAAGGGAGAGAGATAACTAATAGTAGGAATTGAAAGGGAAAAAAAAGATAATTTAAAATAATTTTGTATAAAAAAATAAAACTTTTTTATAAGTTGAGAAGAAATTAAATGAAGATGAACAGAGTACTAAATAGAAAAATTAAACTAACAAAAGAAATTAGCATATCAAAATATGAGGAGAAACATAAAATTTATATCTTACCTGATTGAGCTTCCTTCTCTGAATCAGAGCCTTTATTTGATTGGTTATCTAAAAATATATTTTTAAAACAGAATATCATTGCACTGATATCAGCTACATCTCAATTTTTGAAAGTAATAATTATAAATGAGTTTTATAAAAATAAATTTGAATTAATATTATTTATAGCTTTTTGGCTACCAGTTAACATAAACAAGAAATATTAACATAATTTTAAAAATGAAATAAGCAATTTTGTGTACAAATTAACAATTTATTGATAAACTATTACCTGATTTAGGTGAATGCCGGACACTTCCAGAATCAGAACCTCTACTAGCTTTATCTTCTAAAAAAATTTATTTTTTATTTTCAATTATAAGTGTTTAAGTAGCTCATTATTAAAATACTACTTTTAAAAGTATCAAAAACCTCGCCAAATTTAAATTCAATACAGAAAAATATTACTTATTACTTGTGAGTGTATTTTAAATCATTTAAGCAATGTATCAGAAGCATATTATTTATATACTTATTTTTAAAACAAATACATTATTAAACTTTTCTCTTTTTCTTACAAAAAGGGGGGGGGGACATTTATGTAGTCATGGTGATAAAATAAACTTAAAGAATGAAAATAGAAATTTAAAGAAAAAATATTAAATAAACATTTATTCCATAATGCAGCATAATAAAAAATAATAAATATTAATCCTAAAGATAAAGTAAATCATGCACATATTCTAACTAAGCAATCTCTGGTAAATATAAACAACTAAAGCAATTGAATACTCATATTATTATTATTATTATTATTATTTGGCTATCAAACAGTTAAATATTATAAGAAAAATTAGAATGAATAATAGACAGCAAAGTTCTACAGCCAAATTTTTTTTAAAAAAACTACAAGTTTAATAATTGATACAAATTTTGAAGTGAATTTATCCTTAACAAAAACTTAAAGATCAAGCATATAAAAGAAATTAATGAACTCACCATCAGAATCAGACTCAACAATTCTTCTCTTTTTTGTGACTACACTACCACCAGACTCACTGCCACTGTCTGAAGCAACTCTGCGCTTTTTCTTAGACTTAGCCTTGCTATCTGAGTCACTGTCACTGTCCGATACAACCCTACGCTTCTTTGCAGAAGCACTACCACCTGACTCACTACCACTGTCTGATACAACTCTACGTTTCTTTGCTGTTGTACTTCCCCCTGATTCACTTCCACTATCAGAAGCGTTTCTTTCTTTAGGAGAATTTTCATCATCATCACTGTCATTTCTGTTTCTAAAACAAGGAAGGAAAATGAGATTTTTTTTTTTAAAAAAATGGATTCTGTAAGAGATGTGACAAATAAAGCACTAGTAGTTATTATTAAAAAAAATTTCACCACAATATGCAGCAAGCAACGTCAAGTTTATTCAATGTTTTTTTAAAAAATATCTAACAAAATGATATAGTTAGTTACATTAGTTTTAACATGTGTACATATATACAATTTGGAAAATAGAAAAAAATGACTATTTTATTTGATAATTATAATAGACTTAAATAGCTAAAAAACAGTATGGGCTTAATTATAATGAATATTACACATGTATAACTAATCAGAAATAAATCTATATCAGAAGTATAAATTTAAGTTATCAAATTGGATTATTATGAGTCATTGAGGGGACTGGATAGAGTTCATATAACACTGTTGGGCTCTCCTCTCTAATCAGTGAATGACTAGAAAATTCTACCATCACCCAGTATTAATATAAAGTCTTTAATGTAAAAGAGAAGATATAAGAAAAATATACTTTTATAAAGGAAATATAAAAAATTAATATTAAAAAAACCTTTTTTAAAAGCAGCAGTTTAGAGATCAGTTAAGTGGACAGGAGCAAATATAAAAAGTTCTGGATTATTACCAGAATAATATTCCATATACATTTTAAAAAATGACAAATTTACAAATATACTTAATCGATTGAAAATATTTCTGCTATTCATACAATAAAATTTTTTACACACAAAAAACAAATCACACTATATATTACTTTAAGTATTATTTAGAGGTCTTAATTACATATTAAATTGTACACAAGACATCAAATAATTTGTCACTATTTTTACAGAACATAAAGCTTTTAAGATTCTCAGCCAAAGTAATTTTTCAATGAAATGTGCCATTCAAAATAAGATAAAATACGGTATGAAAAAATTTCCTTTTTTTAAAAGTTAACTTAATAAATTTTTTTTTTTTTTGAAAAATTATACAGTTTTATTCACATTTAAAATAAAACTGAGAATGTAAACAAAACGTACTTCTTCTTTCGAGCTTTCTCTTTGTCACTATCAGAATCTTCACTTGATGATATCGTGGCTTTTGATACCACTCTGCTACGCTGTTTTGCAGTAAGTCCATCTTCTTTGATTTGTTCTTTTTTCTTTTTCTTGGATTCTTTATCTCTCTTACGTTTACGTGGTTTTGCTTCACCTTCATCATCAGTTTCTCGGTTATCCCTAGGAATACGCCTAAAGGAGAACAAATACATAACTTCTTTAAGCAAAAATCCTTAAATTTATTAAGAATAAAGAATCATTCATGAAAAAATCTTTTAAGATTGATAAAATAAAGAATTGGGCAAGAAATTCAACACAATTTTAGACATTAAAACTATTATTACAAAATTTTAAAAAGGCAAAATTTAAAAATTTTATTTAAAATTAGTACAATATATTGATTTAAATAATAAAATATTAAGCAAGAAATGTGTGAAAACCATAATCCAAGATACATTTTGCTTTAAAATATTTTATTATACAATTTACTTTAAATTCAGATACTATATTAATTAGATTATCTTAACTTTTCCAAAATGTATTTTTTTCACAAATGTTGCTAATTATTAATTAACAAAAGGAAAATTTTATCAACTTTTAATATTTAAATGTGCTTTTATTTTAGAAAGGAAGGAAGCCTATCTATATTAAATTGTCAACTAAATTACTTCAACCAACTGAAAGAAACTAAAAACAAAGTAAAAGAAAATCTCAAAAACAACAGTGAGTAGTTTTTTTAGAAAATATTCAAACTAAATATTTTAAAATGTTAAAATTTCATGCAAAAAAAATTAAATAAAGTACAAATTAAATTTTACTGTTTATTTTTATCATGACAAGTAATTTATAGAAATAACCGACTATCACAACTCTTTTCTTTCTTCCTACTTTCTTTTCTTTCTTTAGGTTCACCACCTTCAGATCCACTACTGTCACTGACATATTCATCTTGTGCTCTTCTTCCCTAAAAAGAACATATCAAACATTTTCAGATTTTTTTCCGCCTAGATATATAAATACAGAGATTACATTATAACTAACATCCCTAATTAAAAGTAAAATAGAGTTACAGTGACATGTGCCCAGCGAAACTTTCCTTTTCCAATTTCTTAATTATATATTCTTAAATAACCCTGACAAAAACACTATCAAAATAGAAATTAGCAAAAAACTGGTATAAAATGAATTTATTAGATTTATTAGAATTTATTAGTTCTGATTCTGTTAATTCAAAATTATTTCTTTCTACAAAAATGCAGAAGCCAATGCTAATTCCATTAAAATATTCAAGTAAATTTGAAAATAGAAAGGATGTATATATGGTCCATTAGTTTCTTTTAATTTTTATGATCAGTATTAACTTATGCATGTGGAACTTGGTTAATGTCTCAAACAGATGAGAACATGGTAAGTGTCTAAGAAAAGAAGATTATTTTTGGAGGAATTCAGGAAAATGGAACATGGCGATTAAGATTAAATTTCTAGCCTAGTCATCTTATAAAGAATCTGATATTGTTAACTTTATCAAAATGGGCAGGTTTGTCAAGTCAGAATGATGAAGACCATACCACTAAAAAGTTTTCAATGCCCAACCAATTGGCACACAAAGAAAACAGGCCAAATCTTAGATAAATTGATTTGTGAAAGGTTTTGAGAGGCTGGAGGCCCAACCTGGGCTGTTGAGCCACTGAGGAAGGAGGTTTTTTTAATAAAAATTATAACTGATACACAACAATCGATTTTTGAAAATGTACTAATAATAAATTACAACATATCAATGAAATGACTTAGTAACATTAAATTAAGTTGTAATCTCATTCAGAAAAGGGCTATGAAATCATACATACTTTCTTCCTTGGTTTTTCTTCAATAGCGAGTAACTTTGCTTTTACTTTCTTCTCAACAACTCTTGCCTGCTTCAATTATAAGCTCTGTTCTGTTTCTTAGATTGATCTTGTTCTTTTTGCTGAAATGGATAAAGTTGTATTTTAATAAAATATTGCAGAATAAAAATATGTGCTCATTATCAAACTACTCAAACAGTGAAAATAGATTTTGAAAATTACAGTTGAAATTAAAGATATTCAACAGAAACAACAGAGTAAATTATAAAATAAAAATAAACAAACATGAACCAATCTAAAATTTTATTTTTTAAACCTAAAATAATAATATTGGTCATGAAAACAAGTTCAAGGGGGCACTAGAATTATTTTTCTCTTTAATACAATCTATCAGATGTTCAGGAAA